TACCAAGGTTGGGAGGACTTTGCTTTTAAAGACACCACGAAACGTTTCTTCTCCTGTCAGACGACATACAGGTTGTTGTAATGGTGTTCACACTCACAGCGCTCTGACTATTCCTGGTATTGACGGGATGCTTACCACCACTTTGATGTCCTCGTCTTCTGGCCTTTCTTCTTCTTCTTCTCTGTAACAGAACAGAGGCGTCTTATTAGCAACCAACCCGTCACAATGAGTTTGTGTGGAGGTGAGCGTCTTCTGTCCTCGTCCTGTCAGCACTCTGACAGCAGAGGTCACTGATGTGTGACTTTTTATCGGGTTTTTTGGACATTACAAAGCAGATCAGTTGACCAACACAGACACTACATTTGTAGAGCGCTTACTTTTGTGTCTGGAACCAAAAGTTATACATTCTTTCGGTTGAGCTGCAAAAGCTTCAGCAACAGGATTACTTTGCAGTCAACATTCGGTACGCTCACTTCTAAATCACCCCTGATGTGCATCAGTCAAGGGGGTGCTGTAAGTAAACGCATTAATATTTTACCAGGATGTCAAAGGCATGACCCACTCTAGTCTTCCTCTGATTGCATTCATGTGAGGATGGACAAAGGAACTTAATCAAAATGCATCACTAGGTAGTTTCACTTTACAGTCTCTGGGTCAGTATTTATCCTAAAATCTGTGGCTAGTGTTAGTTTCATAATGAAGTCAAGCAGCAGGTTAGTGGCGATGTGCAAACACTCCTCTGCCTATTTTGGGTGAACTAAACATGCAGGAGTAGTTGATGCATATAATACAAAGCTCTGCATTAGTTTACTAAGAAATCAGTACAGAGCTAATACTTGTGTTTGAGAACTGAGTTTTTTTCAATAAGCTGGGAATCAGAGCATAAACAGTTCTCCAGACACCTCTACTGGTGTATAAATGAAATCTGAAAGAGCATCATCCGGACATACAGCTCCATGAAGCTGTGTGTCATCAGAACAGTTATAAAAAGATGAATTATGTCTTCTGAGGACGACAGCAAAACTAAAATATAGATTAAAACAGCAGTGGAGCTAAAATCCTTAAATCCTCGGGGATCAACAGTTTGGAGAAATGATTGTCTGCTGTGACAAATATCTACCTGCAGAAACATACAACTCAAACCAGTTAAAACGATTCCAGACAGTCTGCTGTAAATGTTCAGTTGTGTCAAAAAACATCAACAGTTTAGATTAGATTAGATATAACCTTATTGATCCCTTTGGTAGGGTACCTCAGGGAAATTTTTGAGTTTCTAAAGCAACGTTCACTGAGTTCACTGGCATCTAAATCCATCCTGATACATCTGCATCACGAGAGGCTAGAAAACAACACCGAAACATTTATAAAGGACGGTTTCGGTTTAGCAAACTAATGAATTATATGTAAACCAGTTACCCAGACCAGAACAGACTTTAGTCCAGAGCTTCTGAAAGTCCAGACCTTGGTTNTCTCTGTAACAGAACAGAGGCGTCTTATTAGCAACCAACCCGTCACAATGTGTTTGTGTGGAGGTGAGTGTACTTTAAGATCTTCTGTCCTCGTCCTGTCAGCGCTCTGACAGCAGAGGTCACTGATGTATGACTTTCTATCGTGTTTTTTGGACATTACAAAGCAGATCTGTTGACCAACACAGACACTAAATTTGGAGAGAGTTTACTTTGGTGTCTGGAACCAAAAGTTATAGATTCTTTCGGCTGAGCTACAAAAACTTCAGCACCAGGATTATTTTGCAGTCAACATTCGGTACGCTCACTTCTAAATCACCCCTGATGTGCATCAGTCAAGGGGGTGCTGTAAGTAAAGACATTATTATTTTACCAGGATGTCAAAGGCATGACCCACTCTAGTCTTCCATTAGTTGGGTGGGTTAAATTTAAACAGGAGGGAGAACCACTTCTTGATATTATCTACATTTTGGTTGGGAAAAATGTACTGACAATTGCAAAATATTTCATTTTCAAAATCAACTGTCACTCTTCCAAAATGTTTGCTAAAAATAATCTAATCCCTTCCTCATCTGGACTCCTCACACCCGCTCCATGAACCGTTTGAACTGCTGCCATCAGGAAAACGTTTCCGGAGCGTTCAAGGAAGAACCTCCAGACTGATCAACAGCTTCTTTCCACAAGCTGTCAGAATGCTGAGCTGCTGATCCAGATATGAGCACAATTCTTTATTTAATTGCTTTTAGTTATTGGATCCTGGTGAAAGGACTGTTTCGGTTTAGCAAACTAATGAATTATATGTAAACCAGTTACCCAGACCAGAACAGACTTTAGTCCAGAGCTTCTGAAAGTCCAGACCTTGGTTTATATCGCAGCCTGGATCCAGTCTGGATCCAGGCCACACCTTGGGTTATGAATATGAATCATTATAAAAGGTTTGATTTTGAAGTTAATTTCCCTTTGATCAATGAATTGTTAGTGATGTTAAATATATACGACCTCACAGTGGAGATAACTCCTGCAGAGTGGCTGCGAATGAGAAGTTTCTATCAGCTCTGAAACCACAGAGACAGAGTGTGTCTTTTCCTTCACTATATAATTTCTACAACTCATGTCTCTGAAATTAAAATGTTTGAAGCAGAAATAAATATGGATGCAGACCTCTGAGTATTACATCTAGATCTCCTGGATCAGTCTGTAGTTACTGAGTGCTGATGGAAGCAGGCAACCTTTTATTATTATCATTATTTTTTATTACACGTAACGTTAAATGAAAGTGTGACTTCTCCTCGACATAAACTCACTCTGATATTGGATGGATGGATTCCCCCGGCATGTCTACTGTTGGTAAAGCCGACTCCAGGTCCTCTTTCGTTGGGTAGTTCTGCCACATGTCTCTGGCGCACTTAAAGAAACCTCCCATCGCCGCATTCTGTGAAGAAAAGTCAAGACTTCAGCTCTAAAGAACATTCTCGTGGATTTACTAATAAAAGATGTGTATCCTTACTTGTAGTTCTGTGTTCTGTTTGGCCTTTAGCTCTCCAACACACATGCGCCCAGTAATCTTGCTCTGCCTGAGGAAGGAGAAGCTGTACTTTGGTCGTTTGAGTTTCTTGGGCGTCTTCTTTTTGTCAGTCTCGGACTTTTCAGGTGAAGCTGAGTCGTCGCTTCGCTCTGCATCGGTGTCGGATGGAGAGCCTGGAGAGAAGCTGCTCCGGCGGCTTCGCCTCCCTGACCTCACAGCCTCAGCTACAGGTTTCTGGGTGATGAACAGGCTGTCCCCCGAATCGCTGCACACACAGAGATCATAAATCAGCATTTGCAGGCTGTCACAGAGGAAGCATCGTGTCAGTGGTCCTCACCTGTCTGTCTCAGCTGGAGCTCCATCCTTCTGTCCCACCTCAACATGCTGCCATAGTTCATCACCATTGCCAGGAGGGAGGGTGTCCAGATCAGTGTGAGGGTTTCCAGAGTCAGTAAATAAATCTGACTGAGTCCCTGTCAGACTCATTTGTGTCATTTTTAAGCTAAACGTTAATTAGCGCAGTGAAGGAGGGGTCTGACTGTAAACAGAGAGAGACTAACTCTGTCTAACGTCTCCAGATTCATAACAGCGACGTTAATCAAACACCAGACTCATGTCTTTAACAACGAGCTGCACCAAAACACGACACACGCGGTTCAAAATTACCCAGGAAGTGTTTCAACGTCAGCGCCGTGACGAAGGATCACATGACCAGTCAAACAGGAAGTAAAAGGCGCTGAGAGGAAGCAAGAGCGATCCCCGTCTCTACTTCCGGTTTGGACTACAGCAGACTCATGTAGTGATTATAGACTAGATATGTAAAGACAGGGAGGTGCGAACACTTTCTGCTGATGAAGACCGTGAGGTAAAGCTGAAAGCTCGAAAATAAACCGCTAAACTGACTTAATTTTAAAAAAAAAATAATTTAACTAATTAATTTATTTTAAATGCAGACGTACAGTGGGGAATTGAGTTGTTTCAAAGCAGAACATAAATCAAATTTATGGCATAAAATTATACAAAAAATCCAACATTTGCGCATTGAATTAGCTAATACTAATTATAACAATAACAAGTATTCTTATAATTTTTTTTACTACTAACAATATAAACTATAGGATTTAAGTATAATAATGAGTCACTGCTGTCCCATTTATTTATTTATTTTTATTTATAATTTATTCAGTTTTTTCCTTAAAAAAATTATATTTATTGTATATATCTTTTTTTTTTCTTTTTTTTTTACTTTTGTTAAACTTAAACATATTTTTCCGTGTTTTTACATTTTGGAATATTTTTTCTCATTTACAATATGACAAAACTAAAATTAATTTACAGCATTGATATCGCTCATCAACTAAAGATATGAATGTAACTGTGAGCCATAATGCTCCATCTCTGTCCTGGAACTGGCCGTCCTCTCAGATGAACGCTTCCTGGGAGAGAATCTATCTTGTCAGTATTCACTCTTTGGCTATACTTTAACCACAGATGTGTCGGGTTCAGTAGACTTCTCCTGCACAGCTACAGTCTGGCAGCACACTGAGCCTCAGTCAGAGTCATGGCAGATCTAAGCAGGACGGAGAAGGTTGAGCTGCACACGCCGGAGCTGGAGGAGCTGCGTGGAGGTGAGATCCTCAGCTGTGATATAGAGGCAGTGAATAAATGGCACAGACTAAGTGTTCATGCAGACACTGTTGCTGTTTGGTTGCAGTTTTACAATCAGGACTGGAAGCCAACTTTGCTGAAGTTCAGGTGAGTGTTGTGGACTGTCCGGATCTCACCAAGGAGCCTTTCAAGTTTCCTGTCAAAGGTAAGAGCACATAATCAAGCCTACTTCATGCACATTTCTAAGTCCCAGTGTGCATCCAGCTGCAGAAACAGGGGTGCACCATGTTGCACATAAATGCACCTACAGACATTTTATTATTACGCCTGCTCTTATCGTGATGACCCAGTGGCAGGTGCAGACAGAAAAATACGATGCTTTACAAATTCATTGAGCAAAGGAAGAAAATTGCTTCACCTTACATGCAAAACATGCCACATAAAATCTTAGGTAACATTAAAAAAGAACAAAAAAACAACTATCAGCCAAACAGGTGCTTTTTGCCAGTCAGTGTTCATTTTAAGTCATTGTAACCTTATGAACAGATTTTGAGTGTTTTTTTTTTTTTGCTCCTGTCAAGTCCTGCACTTCTAGGTGGCATGGCTTGATAAAAGAGAAGACAAAAAAATGTCTGCTGTGCAGTATGACACAGTTATAATGCAATAAATCATAATAAAGGAGGAAAAAGTGAGCTGCCAACACTGGAAAAATAGAGATTTTACCTGCTGTAGATGTTTCACTTCTTACTTTTTCCATCTGTGGGCTAAATATTTTTCACACTACCCTCCACATCAGCTCTTAAGATGTTTCACCATGCTGAATGCATCTTCCAACAACTTGCTAACAACTCGCTCTTCTGTTTGCTATTTTGTGCCATGCTGCATTTACTTTATTTTCCTCCCAGTCTTTCTCTGCTCCGTTTAAAGCAGCCTGCAGTTCGGGTGAATGGTCCTGACATTTTTGTCACATGACTGTTGGTCACAGCTGTGTCTGTTCTGTCTTCTCAAATACACAATGGAGCACAGATTTTATTTCCTTATGTATTTATTTACAGGATCTGGTGCATATGATTTATTTTTCAATGACATGTAGGATAAAGTGTTTAAGATAAAATGTCATAATTTAAAGCTTAGACTTGGTTAATTTTCTCTGCATGACATTCAAGAACTATTGGAAAGCTGAAAACCAGATAAATCTTTCTGTTTTTGCAGTTTCTGGTTTTGATAAGTGGTATAATTTTGACAGTTTTAAAAAAAGATAGCTGTCTGTCAAACCTGCCGGCAGGTTTTGGGTTTCAGAGATTGACAGCCTTTATTGCCTGATACTGATAATAATGACGATATCAGTGTTTCCGTCATGCAGAATCTAATGGAAAGTGTGAGAACTGAATCTTTCTTATGTACCTGCTACAAAAACAACAATTTTGTTCAATCTGAAACACTATTAAACATTAATTTGAGTGTAGTCAAGCATCCTTTGCAGACTGTGGATCGAAACAACTTAAATCTAAAATATTGTTGTTGCATGTCTGTAGTCTCTCTGTCATATCAGATCAGTCAACTTTCTCTTCTGTCCTCCTGCTGCAGGCTTGTGTGGAAATCCTCGCATCACTGATGTTGGCGGTGTACCGTACCTGATTCCTCTGGTTAAAAAAGACAAGGTAGGTTTTTTTTTTTTATTGAAATATTGCATAGAGATCTCGCACAACGACCTGCAGTGGAAGGGTTTACGATACTGTTGTCCCTCCTCTTCCCAGGAATACAACATGAACGCTATATCAAAGGAGCTGGAGCTGCCGGGAGCCTTCATCCTGGGTGCAGCGGCCGCCCCCTCCAGGGTTGTTGGAATGAATGCAGAGGTGAATTATGTCTACTATTAACACTTTGCGTTGCAGTCAGTAGAAATGCATTCAATCAGAGCACTGGAGCGCGCAACCGCGAGAGCTGCTTTGGTGCAACTGTGCGGCTCTGCAAATAATTCCTCTTGATTCATGGGTCCTGTTTACCTTTTATTACACAACAGCTCGGGTACACAGAGTCACTGCTGGCCTCCAGAGGTAACAGCTGCAAATCAGCAGACCTAGAGTTTTATTTTCGTTTCACCTGCATGTTCTGATTATAATATTTGTTTGAATACTTTGCGTGCTTTTGAGATTGCTCCCTAGAGGTTCGACTGTATAATAATGTTGCTCCCTAATGAAGCAGCTGATGTGATCCTGGCTATGATGTAAAACGTTGGGGAAACAGGATGAAAAACATGCCTCCTGTGAGTCAGACACTGAGTCCATGATCCTCCCTGTTGAGACTGGATAATAACGTGGATTACTTGAAAGCAAAGCAGCTGCCGTTGTAGACTTGAGGAGCAGTTTTGTGATTCAGAGGTTGAAGGAGTGAATACTCTCGTCCACAGCTGATGCCTCTGGTTCTGACCGAGGCGCCGGGAAGGTCTGCAGTGAACAGCAGCTACTTCTCCTCCATCAACCCAGCCGACGGTCAGTGTCTGCTGGAGAAATACAGCGACAAGTTCTCCGACTGCAGCTTTTCACTGCTGGGGAACCTGTACGCCTGTGAAGGGAAGCCTGGAAAGGTAATCTGATTACTCTGGATCTGCAGCTTTGGAATGATGATGTACTGGGGGCGCTTCAAAGATGCATAGTCATTTTTACTTTGGGTTTTGGAAAATAATGAACATATCTGGGTATATATTAACTTAAACGTAATTATCTGCAAGTTAATGGCATGACTTTGTAATAAGTTGATGAACTTCAGCCCCGTCACATGTGAGCTCCCAACACTGGACAGAATAAACATTAACAAGCTGAGTTCTTCACCTGTGTGTCCCTGCAGGTCATAGAGGTTCGGGCCAAGAAGAGAACAGGAAGTCAGAGTCTGGTGACCGCCCTGAGGACGACTCTCGAAGGTCGCTACCCCGATAAAAGTCTGGCTCTGGGAGGCACCTTCATCATCCAGAAAGGGAAGGCGAAAATCCACATTATGGTAAACACTAGCTGAGACACAAAGCTCTTTATTAATAGCTACTGACAGCGGCATGCAATGATTTATTTTTCTTTTTTTGGCTTATAAATAGCCGAGAGAGTTCTCGGCCTGCCCCCTCAACACCAACGATGACGTCAACAACTGGCTCAAGCACTTTGAGGTCAGCGCTCCACTCATCTGCCAGTCGGTGCTCGTGTCCAGAGACCCTGTAAGTGAAGCCACCACATCTCCGTGAGACGCGTGGAAATGATCTTTTCACAGGTTGAGCCCCTCTCTGTAGAGCTTTTGTAATGCCCATTTGGCTGCTGTGTTTCAGGGCTTGGACCTGCGTGTGGAGCACACCCACTGCTTCAGCCACCACGGAGAAGGAGGCCACTACTACATAGACACCACACCTGACAGCGTGGAGTACCTGGGCTACTTCATGCCTGCGCAGTTTGTGTATCGCATCGACAGGCCCAGAGAGACCCACGGAGTTGGACGGGATTGAAACGCTGAATAAATCATGTTGGCAGCACAGTGTCTCTGATCATCTGAATCAAGCAGACAGTATTCGATTTATACTAGTTTGAATCATTCGTCTTCATTTGAAATCACATCTTATATCTTATGAATCACATCTCTTAGATACTAAATCACCACAGAACATGACATTTGGATTGTCTCGGCTGGCCTTTATTTTTTAGTTGGAGCATTTGTGCTGTTTGCTTAGACAGAGAAAGCTATGTTTTGAAAGACCTCCATGGTCCACCCACCCTTACAGGTTGTGAGGTTGGAGGCTTTGCACCTTTACGACCACCAAGCAACGACTACTGTCTGACAAATATGAAGAATCAAACATCTGATAAGCAATAAAAGGAATACAGCTGCCATGAACATAAGAGGCTACAAGAAACTGGTGATGGATTAACTACAAGAAGCTAAAATGTAGTGAAACATTTTGATGCCACCTGATTAAATCCAGGATGGAGCGACATGTGAGTCAGGGCAAACTCAGCTCCTCCTCATAAGACACAAACTGTCATGATTTCGATATGCATTTACATTTTTTTCTCTCTCTGTTATTTTGTCCCTTAACCTCATGTCTCATGTATGAAATTAGCTGTTATTGATTTATATTTCATGCACAAGTTTGATTCCTAATGAATTCACTTTAGTAAAGACAAATGTTGTTCCTGTCGTCACCATCAAAGTGTGGCTGCACAATACCTGACAATAAAAAGTGTTTTTTAATGGAACATATTTTCTAGATGCACTGCAGGTGGCAGCAGCTATTCTTGTGATTTATATTTTTATTATGGGCCTATTGATGAATAAAAGCTGAATCAGTTAGTTAATACATTTTGTATCTGTTGTTTCATAAAGTCCTAAACTCCTTGAAAGCATGGTATATTTTCACACTAATTAAATCTTGGATAAAATATATTTAAACAGTCAGTAAGAACATAAAAGCTGTAGGTTATTAAAATATCTTTTGCAAAAAT